GAAACAGAATCTTGTACCTGGAAATGATCTCATGTCTTCTTTATGAAATTTCCACCTCTAGTCAAGCACACATACTTCCCAGTGTCAAGACAAAAGTAGTGTTGTAACAAGACAAAAAAGTTAGCTGCATTCCACTTCAAAACACAGGAAATAGCGTTTCAGAGAGTTTAACTTTCAACATTTTCCAGGGGAGGATACTCCCGGACCCCCCTACACCAAAGATGTGATACACCAAGGTGTACACACTATGAAATATTCCTATTTGAAAGCCTGATACTTTAAAGTTTTAAGGCAATATTTCTCCACCGCTTTTAGAGGCCAATTAAAACTTTATCGTAGCGCTGTGACTTCTTGTCTCAGTCCGACAAACTCTACAGGAGTTTATTTGGCTCCAAGGCTGTGTGTGTGTCAGCTGATGGGTAATAAAGTGTAATACTAAAGAGGTAGATATGATAAAGATACTCTGAATTTGTTACCATGAGATCGTTTACACAGTTCATATTCTTAATGTCTGTATAAAATGTTGCTGTCTGTTTTAAATTGAAGTTAACAACACATTTTAAATGTTCAGATAGAGCAGGAACGTTTGGTGAAAAAGCTGCAAATGATTTTCAAGCAGGATTACAGTCCAATTATACATTGACAATTTAAATCTAGCCGATTTCAAACCACTAAAAATACAAAGTGGACAGAGGCAATCAGATTAAATCATAATGTAAAATGTCACAGCTCCGCAGAGGAGGAGGAAATGGCAAATAAACCCAGACACACCTGGCAGCTGCCTGAGTAAGTAAATAAAACTCCTCCAGCTCTCTGTGCTCTAATACACAACCCCTGTTCCATATTTCCATAGCTCAGATCCTGTTATTAGCGCTGAAAAAGTCTTACCGTGTCCCATTCCCACATGTTTCCTGCCTCTCGTCTCCCACTCGCGTCAAACGACTGTCATGTTGTCGGGAGCAAAGTTCAACGGCTCGCTCCTTATAGGATTATTTATCCAAGCCCGCCGACTGCGGCAGGCTGCTCAGCGGATTACCTATCTCGCTGTGAGGATTAAAGGATCGAAAGAACAAGGAGGGAGATGAGAGAAGACGCCACAGCAGAGCGGAGACTCATCTCACCAAACATCGATACGACGGCTGCAGGTCTATGTTTTACAGAAGAATCGAACCTTGAGCTTCACTTAAAGCATGAACAGCTAAACGGATCAACCCTGCTGGATGCAATTATTTTCACAATTATTGATGTGATCCCAAAGGTATATAGACGGCCAAAATATAGTATGAAATACATGACTTTATATTCTGTATTTAGTTAATATAAGTATCATTTGTCTATCTAAAACCTCATTCTAATATTAAATATACCATTAAACTGTAAAATTCCTGATTTAATAATTAATTGTCCCATTGCATTTATAAAAAAAAAACATTCAATTTAAAGTTAAATATTTAAATGTTGCAAAAAAAATGTATGCATCTAAAAATACATATTAATTAACCCTAAAAAATATCAAGTGAATTAATGAACATTTATAAATTATGGCGTCACAGGCTAAAATGTTTAAGAACTTGGGGTGTTAGATCAGGAAACGATCCAAAACAACTCGTAGCCAAATGCTAATGTTGCTAAAGCTACCTGTCAAATTGACACCAGTGAACTTCTCAGGTTTACCCTGGCAAGCAACTATAAAGAAAAATGGTATGAAAAGAGGTCCAAATTAGAGCTATTTTTTTTCTCCTAAAAATGCTTAAACATTAATCTAGTTTCATTTTCAAAAGGACAGTAGATCTAAAATACTAGATTATGATGAGGGCTGGGTAAAAAAAAAAAAAAA